AATGGCCACAGACTAGTGATACGATATGCTCGGGGATTGAGGATAGATAACCGGAACCAATATCTTATTGAGACAGAATTCTCATGCTGCTCGAAAGAAACAGGCCTCACGTCGATTGGACGGATATGATGCAAACTGCCTACCGATACAAAGAAGGGACATCCTGATTGGTCGGAACATGGACCAATCACAAGCACTAATTATTGGTTCGGTACTGCTCGCCCCGTAGCTCTATTTGTAAGAATCTCCTCTTGTCTCCATGACAGACTGTCTCAACCTGCCTTGTTTTTGGTATCCCACAATGGGTGAAACAACAAGTCAGTAATCAACAAGAAAGTTTCAAACTACAACACACGACTAATTATGGGGTTAGCCCCTTTGTTTATGATCGTTGGTCCTACCAGTTTTCTTTCTTCATACAGGAGAATTTATTCGGGTTTTTAGTTAGGGAAACTATTGTACCCTGAACTGGATCTCTTTTCTATGATATTCTTTAACTAACTGTTTCAATTGGTACAGTATTCGAGATATCGCAGTATATTTTCATGAGAGAATCTACTCACAAGGTTGCTGAAAACACTTCGACAGCCCACGACCGGTTTCACACATCTTGGGGCTCACCAGGTAAGCGCAGTCCGCGAGCCTAGCAGACTATCAGTTTGCGGTTGAGTGGACATTCCCGTTACCTCTACACGTGTTTATAAAGTTTCTCAAAAGCATTCAATGCCTTCAAAAAGAGCAGTTGTTCGAAATTTGATTTGCATGAAATCTGATTGGCTCGCTGGGAATTTGTGTTGCATTGCGTTGTGTTCTGATTTATTCGTATCAGCTGAATACGTTCACCTTAGTAGTTCTATCATCGTGGAATCACGATACACTGCTCGCCTTGCAGTGAGCGAGGAGAAGAGTTTTTCCCTGTTTCATATTAAAAGTCCCCAATTTCATCAGTAGGATTTCTTTTTTGTAAGTTAGTATCTTCCTGGTAAAACTGTCAAAGTTCCCCTGACACGAGAACGTCCCCTATGTACAGATGAGAGGTCCTGCTTACAAACACTCCTCACGTCGTTCGGCACATGAAGGCATGAGGGAGGGATAGATGTGCCTCCAGAAAGTTCTGAAACATCCACTGACTTGGTTTGCTTAACCAATGCTGTTTTTACAGGGAAATCCGGGTTTGAAAAACGGTTGGCTAAGTTGAGTTTATTTGACTATCCAAAATGTTTGTCCTTTGACGTAGTTTGAAACTTTTCAAAGCACTATTTGCACTCAGGTGACGTTTCGAAATCTAAGCTGTTTGACTTAGCCGACCAACAAATTCGGCGAGGTCCAACAGTAGATGGGTCGAGTTAAAAAGTACTTTTTGTTGTGCGTTTCTGTTGTGATCCGGTGCGTCAGACGGATTAAAGTTCAGTTGTCCGAGCGGTGAGTATATGTTGATCTCACGAAAGTGCACAGGCATTCATAGCATACAACGATAAGATGATTACTCAACTGGACGATGTGTATAGGGTCGTGCCTGATTGGTTTGTGTGAATCCCTTAGCCGATCGATAGATGCAGACAGGGTCAACGATCATGGCCGAGCGGGTAGGCCAATTGCTGTATCTTCAGTTTCCACTTATCTCGTCTTGTCACTGTTCAAGATTGGTTGGGTTCCAATGGATCCTTGCGGTATCGCGAACCAAGTTCGACCTTACCTCTGGAATCCCGCAAGCCCCAATTTGACAAACTTCCATTGTTGGGTTCCCGGACTTGTCCCAGGTTAACAAATCTAGATCAGTTATTTACGACGTGATTGGCCATTTAAATTTGCTGTAACATAAAGAACAATTTTTTTCATCGTAATTTAGCCCAGAGAAATCAACACTTGACACTTTTCCTGAGTCCTACCATAATCTGTTATCTCAAAGAATTTATAAACACTCACGGCTAAAACGCGACAGCTTTTCCGAACGGATTGCAAAAGTCCATGGTACCTAGTTTAACGAACTGGGACCACTCTTGTAACGCGCGATAACATAAAAGGCTTCGTTTATCCCATGGAGTGGTGCACCTATCGGATTCAGGTTTGTGACAGCCAGCTACTCCAGAACAGGCAGATATATACTGTCCCTGAGTATATCCTGCCAGAACATCAGTTTATGAGTTGTTGGCTCCGTTTGAATTTCGAAAAAAAGTATTCCACAACGCATGTCTGAACGTAAATGTTCGCAGGAAATTTGATCCTATCAGTTTCATTGCGTGTCAGTTTATCAGCCGTTTTGACGAGCATCCAACAAATGCGTTTCCAAAGAGATCGACATTTGTATTCGAAAAGATACAGACTTTCGAAATCCAGACTTGAACAAAAAAGAGTAGTTTGCTGTTCTCATAATGACAAAATTTAAGACCAAATTTCTGTGCCCCAAATATTTTATTTTGACAAAACTGTCTGTCGGGACGAATTGTGACTACTGACATTATCAGTTCGATCCCGAGTTATCACCCTAAACTTAGCACGTCAGTCCGGACGCCGCAAGTATGCACGTCTTGAAATGAGGTCAGAGGGATCGATAGCATCGGTCCCAGAGAACCGCATCCAGTCTGGAATGAGTCTAATTTGAACGGGTCACATACTTAGCCCCCGGGAAATCTGCTGCATTTTTCTGAAATGCTGACAAACCTGAAGTCTGTTCAACACAAGCAATGCCCGAAACAAGAACAATGTGATGTCGTATAGGAGGGTGCCGAACGTCCGATCGATTTTATTGCATTTCGATAGTTTGTGGAGACGTGGAATGTGCGATGCAGTACAGAAGCCTCACGGAAAGGCAACAAAAACAGATAAATAAGTGGGTAGGAGATGTGTAGCCGAAAAAAGCATTTCCTAGAGTTGTGTAGGTAACCAAAGCTTAACCAAAAGAGGCTAAACTTTACAACGTTCGGAAGTACAGCGCTCTTCCTAAAGTGTACCCTGTCTAGACTGGCCAAAAACACTCCTTTTGGGAACTTAGTCTCTTACGATCTAGATACAGATCTTTGTCGCTGTGGTTCAAAACCATCATTTTATCTGAACGGAATGAAGGAAAGGCTCACTTGAAACGAAACAATATTAATTAGGGCTGGGTGAATAAGGAAACTGGTGGGCTTTGCACTAGTGGCAGTTTAGAGTGGACTGGTTACACGTCACAGCAAGAATAACTAGCGAATGAACCAGTGAAACACTGTCGAACTATTCGGTGTAAGCATTCGTTTGGTTCAGTCTTATTTAGCTTCAATTTACGGTTCTATTGATTTAGCAGCGTTTTCCATGCTACAAATTCAACTGGCGCACAAAAATCTCTTGGAGTATGCTCTGAGGGAAGTAGCGTATTCCTGTAGGCTCATATTTGCTGGAAGGCCATCGAAGATTTCCCTAACCTGGATGTCTTGCTGACGGGGTCTCTGCTCATGATTGTCTGAAACAAATGAGTGCATCAGTTGTAGCTACTATAGGATGCTCACAAAAGACTTGCACACCTGGAAACGTTACCCGCTGTAGTTACTTTGTGCTTCAGTGTGCGACCCCTTTTATCAACCACTTCCACGAACTGGATGATTCCCTCGACCAATGGTTGATTGTACAGAGTCAGGGACTGTAGTTTGACTTGATTCAACTGGGCCGCACTAAATTCAATGTCCGCCCGTTCAGACGTGAAAATTGAGATGCTTCCAAAGTGCACTGGTAGCGAATTGGTCCCGAGTTCGAACCCCGGCATGGCCGTCGGATATGTGCAGCGAAACTTGGGTCCAGTGCTGTCCCCCCTTTGGTGTGGGCTCGCAAGAATGATTACGTCAGGACAGAAGGACGACTGCTCAAACGAGAATGATGTGACTATGAACGATACATATCCCGAAAGTCCCACAACAATAACGAAAAAATATTCTGTTTTCGCGACAAGGTTGATGAAAACTACATCCTACTGCCAGATTCGTCCCTTATCAAGTAAGTGTAGTCTCCGAGTTACCGTTAAAGTTATGTTCTATTTGACCCCACCCCAGTACATAAAAGAGCAAATGCTTTCAAACTGAGTTGCTCTGTTTGAGTACTCATCTAAATCGCTCTTTAACGATATCGTTCTCTTCTCTACATCGAGTTGCCTGACAGGTTCATTCGACGTCTCCACCACCACCAAGATGGGAAGTGTTTTTTCCGTAACATTGCACACGTAACTGGTGCTAGTCGCTGTTTTGTTTTCTCTAATCCAATACAAATTTTCTCTTTGAAAACTAAACTAGTCGTAGTAACAAAATTTTCTGTGACCTTCACACAATTTCATCAGATGTATCAACAATTCAGTCATGGTTTCACCCGAGGACAAAAAATTGGGATGAAAGCTTCGGAATTCCGTGAAAAAATGCCCTACTTCCTTTTAAATCGTGTCCACTACCTTTAAACAACAGTTCTGTATTTCTTAAATGAATATTACTCATAAGGTCGCTGAAAACGCTTATGAGTAGTGTTGCTTCTGTAAAATATATATTACGATATCACGAATATCGCACCAGCTTTTGTGCAGCACATACGTTTGAAAGACATCATAAACGCGTGGCTTAACTGGGATTAATTTGATTCCAACCTTAAAACCGAATTGGTGTGTATTTCGTGAATTCGAATTGCCGCTTTCGCAAACGGAGAAAAGCGTGTTTTCTCAAACTATTCACAGGGTTCAACAACAGTACTTCTTGTTAAAGAAACCATCAAGCTTCGCTGTCAGCGTACACACCGCTTGTTCTCGAAGGTTTGTGGGGGAAAAAGTCCCGGTTTCAGAATTAGTTGTTCATATCAAAATCACTCTTAGTTCTGCGTTAAGAGTACAAAGAGTTTTTGGTCCCCTTGAGGTGCGGTGATAGGTAGAATGACGACAAAAACGATGAGGGAGTTACCCCCGGTGAACCAGTAAGAAAACTGACCGTCTGTTTCGACATATACAGATATCTGCTTCAGTTTTTTCGTCATTTCGAATGTCTTACGACCTCACGAGGTTGAAAAACTTTGGACGGATATGTGCTTATGTGAGTAACGCGGATCGGTGGTCTTCCTGCCGTCGAATCTAGAATGCGCCTATCCGTGGATTCAATCGCATTGAGTAGTGTGTGTGGCCTCCAAGACAGTGTCATGCTCAGCTGGCTTCTTTAAAAAATCGTTCAGTTGTAACAATTTCGGTGCCTAGCTGCCATAATACCCGAAGGAAGCATGAAGGCTAAGATCCTGCCAGGTTGCCCAAACCTAGACAGGGGAAGTCGAGAGGCAGAGTTCGAACCACGGACCTTCCGGTCAGTAAATTAGCGCTCTAACCACTTGGACCATCTTTCTGACTTCCTTACTGTTGTTCGCTCTCAATGTTGAACGTTCTTTGTGAATAGTTTCCCACTAAGTCCAACCGCCCACTCTCTTTTTGGAAGCATGCCTCTCAGGAGACGACACTCAACCACTTATAGGCGACCAAACCGTTCTTCTCTCAGACAAAGAACAAGTAACCGTTCAGGTGGTATGTCAGCCGGAAGTATCACGAGGGATGTGATAGTGTCAGGTTGCTCAGGCGCAGACAGAAACGGTCGAGATACTGGCGTTGTGGTTGAACCATGGGCCCCCCAGTCACTAAGTTCCCATCTTAACCATTGAGCCA